TAAAAACACTTTTTCAAATTTCGTCGGGGGTATCTGGTGTCTCCGAATAGCGATTTCTAAAAACATTTTATTGTACTTCAAAAAAGTTTTTTAAGCATTTTTATATTAGGAATATTTCCTAGGACCAACAAATCACCAAATGTTAATTTTTGGGCAAATTTTTGAAAAGAGCAACAGAAATTTAAGCCTGATTCTTTTGAAGATATTTTTCAAAGGACCATCAGAATTCCAATCATGGAAAAAAATGAATTATAATTCTTCAAAGGAGCAGTAGCCGTTTTTCAAGAATATTTTCATAGGACCAACAGAGCTTCAAATGAGGACTTTTAAAGATTATTTTTAAAAGGCGTACATTGCCTCAAAAGTGATGCTGCAAATTTTGAAGTTGCAGTTCGGACTTTTAAAGATTTGTTTCCAGAGACAGTCATTGGATTTTATTTTGCAAGACTATTAGATTGTCAAACTTTTTTTATTTCAAAGACTCCTATCTTTAAACCTGGACCTTCAAACGTAAATTCTTTATTTCCCAAAGAATATCGTACTTTTAAAACTGTAGTTTTTAATAATTATTTTCAAACATTTACCGATTTCCAAACGAAGAAACTTAACTTCTTTGAGAATTTTAACTTAAGAATTTGTAGAATACTTTTTGAAGGACCATGAAAACTTAAAAAATGCCAATTTCAATATTATTTTTCATGAATTGCAGATTGAATAATGTTTTCTGAACCTAGATTTTTTTAATATTATTTTTGCAGACCTCCAAACATATATTTTTAAAATATTTTCTAAAAAAGGATTAAATTTCGATTTTTGAGAATCAACAAAGTTTCAAACGTGGATTTTTTTTTTTACAAAATATGTTTAAGGACATTCAGACTTCCAACCCTAGATATCTTAAGAATTTTAAAAGCACAAAAAGTGATCGAAACGAGTTTTTTATACCCACAACACTATGTGTCGGGCGAAAACTTTGTAACACTTCGAAATATTGGCCCTCGGCATAGAATGCTTTATATGGATATTTCTAACTCGCCGAGCTGAGTCGATCTAGCTATGTGTGTCCGCCCGTCCGTCATTGCTTGTTAATTTGTAATCACGCTACAGATAGCATTCATGATCCGATCCGAAATTTACAAGAAGGAAGGGTTAAGGTCAGTATAGAAGTCTATTGTTTTTAGGAGATGAAAAGCACCAAAAATATTAAAGGTAATAATTAATGAACAATCGACATGGAATTTTGCATGATGCTAGGGATTTGGACGAAGGATGTGTAACAATGACAAATCCCTTTTATTCAATCGAAAATTACAATGATTTTTGTAAAAGGTCCAATTATATATCTACAGGGTGAGATAAAAAACTGCAACAAAGTCAAACGCCATATTTATTTTTTCATTTTTTTTTTAAATGTTGTTTAAAGAAAGCAAAAAATGTCGGAAAGAAATCACACTATCACGCTTGAATTCCATCACGAATAACTTTTTTTCTGGAAAATTCTCACCAAAATGCTTTTGTACGCTTGTAATCAATATAATGAGCTGTCACTGGAATAATTTTAACAGATGTCGGATGTGTGACTTAGAAATGACAGCAGTCTGAAGTTGGTTGCAGGTTTTTCATCTCACCCTGTAGCAGAGCCTTATTATGATTTTGGTCCCATACATTCAATTTTAAAAGGAAAACCATTTTCCGATTTTTTGGACAATAAGATAAGGGAACTTCTATCCACTTCTTTACCCAAAGTGTATGGATACATATTGGCTCTTTCTACGGTTTTTAAAGCGCATTATTGCCCTCTAAACTCCCGAAATTTCTCTCAGTGTAAACAATATTTTGCCAAACACACATAAATTTCAAATTGTCTATAATATACGCCCAAAACCAAAACGAAAAAAGAAACGACCACAAAACATAAAGCAAATCGTCCAAATAGCAAAAATCACAAAATAAAATACAAACAACAGACAAACAGAAGATAAAATGAAATAAAAATTGAATCCTTTGATTTGTAACAAAAAAAAAAAAAAAAACAATCATCCACACAAACCAAACAGGGAGACACTGGCAACATAGGCTTTCAGCCAGCCAACCAGCCGGTACAAAGAGACATAAACACACACACACACACCTACCTATCACAGAAACAACACCAAATTACAACTGAAAGAAGTCTTCTTCTAGCTTGCTACCGGCGGCTGGCTAGCTCTTTTGGCTGGCTGGCTGGTTGATATCCACTATCTGACGTTGCTGCTCTTGATATGTTGTTGTTGTTGAGAATGTTGAAAAGTGTCAACTGCAAAAACTTGTCAAATCTTTTTTATGCTAATTAACCTTAAAAATATAAATGCAACAGCAACAACAACAACAGCAGCGGCCATAGCGGCAACGAAATAAAATCTCAACAACAAGAAATTTAATCAAATGCAAATGGAAAATATCGAGACAAAGAAGAGATATTTTTATGAAATTTTTCTAGACTGGAATTGAGGGGAAGAATTTTTTGCCAGGAAAAAAATCTGTTCTGCATTCGAAAACCTGAGGAAAATCTTCTATCCACAGAAGACCTGAAGATGACATTTTATCCAAAGAAGACATGAAGAGTGTGTTAGGTTTATAGAAGACCTATGCAAGGACTTCTATACACACAAGAACTGCCGTAGATTTTTTTCCATAGGATACCTGAGGAAGGTCTAAGGAAAGTTTTATCCATCAGAATCCTAACGTAGGTTTTCTTCTGGGAAGACCTATTGCCAGTCTGCGATTCATAGAAGACCTGAAGAGAGTCTTTTACCTGTAGAGGGTCTTCTATCTTCAGAATGTCTTCTGTCCATGAAGGACCTTTGGAAGGTCTTCAGCTCATGGAAAATCTGTAGAAGCTCTTATATCCATAGAAGACCTGAATTTGGCCTGACACCCAAATAAGAAATTTAGAAAGTATTCTTTCCATAACAGCCTTGAATATTGTCTTCTAGCCTGAGATAGCCTGAAGACACCTAAGAAGGTCTTTCATCCGTGAAAAATCTGTAAGTTTTCCACTCATAGAAGACCTGAAGTAGGTCATCTTCACAGAAGATCTCAATAAGGTCTTCTATCCACAGCAGACCTGAAGAGGTTCTTCCATCTATAGAAGATCTATATGTCCATAGAATGTCTGTATAAGGTGTTCTATCTATAGAAGACTTAAAAAAATATCTTCTATCCAAAAGCCTGAAATAGGTCTTCTTTATAGAAGTTCTGAAAAAGATTTTCTTCACATAAGACCTGAAAAAAGTCTTCTATACATAAACTCCTGGAGAAGGCGTTCTATCTATAGAAGACCTGAGAAAGGTCTTCTTCATTGCAGACACGAAAATTCCTCTAGCCATAGAAAACCTGAGGTGGGTCTACTACCCATAGAAGACTTGAAGTGAACCTTCTATCCATAGAAGACCGGAAGTGGATCTTCTATCCGTAGAAGAACTGAAGAAGGTTTTCTAACCATATAAGGCCTTAAGAAGGACTTCTATCCAGAAGAGGGTCTTCTATCCATAGATGACCAGAAGAGTGTCTTCTATACATAGAAGACCAAAAAAAGTATTCTATCCCTAGAAGACCTGATAAAGGTTTTCTAACCATAGAAGACCTGAAGAAGATCTTCTAACCATAGAAGACCTGAAGAAGGTCATATAATCATAGAAGACCTGAAGAAGGTATTCTAACCGTAAAAGACATGAAGAAGGTATTCTAACCATAGAAGGCCTGAATAAAGTCTTCTATCCATAGAAGAACTGGAGTGGGTCTTCTATCCCTAGAACCTGCTAAAGGTTTTCTAACCATAGAAGACCTGAAGAATGTCTTTTAAGCAAGTCTTCTATCCATAGGAGAAAGTCTTCTATCCATAGTAGACCTAATGTGGGCTCTCTTTCCATAGAAGACCTGAAATGGGTCCTCTATCCACAGAAGACCTGAAGAAGATATTCTATCCATAGAATACCAGATGAAGGTTTTCTAACCATAAAATGCCAGAAGAAGGTCTTTTATGCATAGAAGTCCTGAAGTGGGTCTTCTATCCATAGAAGACCTGATAACGGTTTTCTAACCATAGAAGTCCTGAAGTAGGTCTTGTATCCATAGAAAATCTGATAAAGGTCTTCTAACCATAGGAGACCTGAAAATGTATTCTAACCGTAAAAGACCTACAGAAGGTATTCTAACCATAGAAGGCCTGAATAAAGTTTTCTATCCATAGAAGGTCTGAAGTCATTTATTGAAGGTCTGGGTCATTTATTTATGGAAGGTCTTCTAAGGTTAGAAGAAGGTCTTTTATCCATAGAAGACCTGAAAAAAGTCTTATAACCATAAAAGACCTGGAGAAAGTCTTCTTCCATAGAGGCTCTGAAGTGGGTCTTCTATCCACAGAAGGCCTGAAGAAGGTCTTTTAACCAAAGAAGGCCTGCAAAACATCTATTATCCATAGAGACCTGAAAAAATCTCCTATCCATAAAAGACCTGAAGAATGTGTTCTACCTGTAGAAGACCTGAAGAAGGTAGTTTATCCATAGAAAGACCTGGAGAAAGTCTTCTATCCAGAGAAGACCTGCTGTGAGGCTTCCACCTATAAAGGATCTGAAGTGGGTCTTCTATTCATAGAAAACATGAAGTTCCCTATCCATTAAAGATCTTCTAACCATAGAATATCCTCAAGCCAGAGAAGACCTTTAAAAAGTCTTGCCAAGATCTTCTCTGTAGTGCGAAGATCTAAGTCTATAGAAGATCTTCAATACACAGAAGACGTCTTCCACTCACAGAAGATCTAAAGAAGGTAATTTAACCACAGAAGGCCTACCTCTTTCCTATAGCAGACCTTTGAAAACTCATTTATTCCAATCAAGCCTTTGAAGCTGTTCCTCGCACAATCCTTAGGCATTATTTTTAAGATATTTTTAATATTTTTATTTTAATCTTCTCTTTCTCTCCCTCTCTCTTTCTCTCTTTTCATATGCTTCGCCATTTTGCAGCAGCAGAGCGCAAGATTTCTTGGGCCAGGTGCAAGGGAAAAAAGTCCAACACCACCTGTAGCACATCAAGGAAATGCTGCACATTGCGGCAGTGCTGCAGGTGCAAATAACAGTAGTAATAACAATAACAACAACAATAATAATAACAACAACAATAACAACAACAACAGTAGTAGTAATAGTCATAGCAATCAATTCATATTCCGAACATCAGCCTGCTCAACATGTCCCGATATCTGTGAACACAGTACAAAGCCGTTCAGTGCAGCGGCGGCCGCCTATTCAGTTGCATTTAGAAGGTGAGTTTTCAGGGGATTTTCCGAAAAAATTTCCCCAAAATTTTCCGAAATTTATACATCTTCTTTTTCTCCCCCCTTAGCTATGAAACAGCCGAACAGGCCACCTTCGATGACAGCTCCATCAAATACGCCATCAGTCGAGGCCAAACGGAGTGTCCGGACGATCTCAACGATGAGACCAATTCCGGTATATCCTTCAAAACGGAACCCTATGGACCACCCAGTAGTCCCGAGTCGGCGACTGAGACAAAACCAAATTGCAGTCCACCCTGTGCCGGGTGTGGGCGTTTGATACAGGTGAGCTGCACTACATATCCCACCCTTCCCTAGTAACTCTGCCCCCCCTCTCGCTTTGCCCAATTTGTATGGAGCATGCAATTACACGGGCAATTTTAACGGCGCTTCTTTTTCAATTTGTCGTTTTCTTGTTTTCATTTCCATTTTTCTTGTTTTTTTTTTTTTGCATTTCCCCAACTCTAGGATCGTTTCTACCTCTCTGCTGTGGACAAACGGTGGCATGCCAGTTGCCTGCAATGCTATGCATGTCGACAACCCCTCGACCGGGAATCTTCGTGTTATTCGCGCGACGGTAATATTTACTGCAAAAGCGATTATTATAGGTGAGCTTTACTTGTAACAATTTATTCTGTTTTGTTTTTTTGTATTTCAACTACAACACGATAGTGCAACAACAACAAAAAAAAGCAATTGCAAGTTTTTTTGTTGCTATTGCATTATATAATATACATATGTGGAACATTTCAAGTACATTGCGGACATAGCGTGGGTCGTCGGTCGCCTTGTATGTTTGCATTTCCAAGAAACACCTTCTAAACAACAACCTGAGACTGAGACCCTGAGACCTGAGCGTTCTGGCCACAAGAAAAAAACTAAAACTCCCCCTGCTCACCCCTCTAGTTCTTCTATGGTTGCTGGCGGACTCCCGCCTTCTGAGCATTTCCATTGAATTGAAGACCTGCATTTCAATTAGAAAAAAAAATTTAAAAAAAATATATGAACGGTTACAAGACCAACAAAAAGTTGAAGGTGGCAACAACAGCAACAACAAACCTACATAAAATTGTTTAGATTGCCGTCGTGTGACTTTACAAATAAACGATGGGCAATCAAGCGGCGAGAGTGGGTAAACAAAGAAGAAGAATTTTTTCTGGAAGAGGATTGATCAGGTTTGGAAAAAATCTATTCTCCATAAGATTTCTTGAAGAGGCTGTTGTACAGATATTTCAAAACAGCTTTTTCAAAATTTCTTGAAAAAATCTCCAAGGGAGAAATCTACTAAAAAAAATGTCAAAGTATAATCCGCTAATAAAAATCCATACTATAGCTTGTTATAGCTTTTTTTCAAATTTTCATAAGACAAGTTAAAACGTACCCGTCGGTTTTGCCGACAGATGTATTCCCTCAGCCAATGTTCGATTATTTAAATATATTTTAACTTCTGTTATACTTATTCAAATTATTGACCCTCTATGGAGTATGTTCCGAAGAAATGGGCCAATATTGTCCATTTCATATTGGACCTAAATAAATATGATATAAATATTGTGACATGCAAAGTTTGGACGATATACCTCTCCTTTATGCGTGAGGTATCAAATACAGGGCGAGATAAAAAAAACTGCAAAAAAGTCAAAAAAATCCGGAAATTGCATCAAATTGTGAAAAAGGTTTAGATTTGTTCGAATTGGTCACTTTTGGCATAAATTATGGCCTTCAAATGGCCAATGAAAACGTCACACGCTGCCCGAATGTTGCTATGCGGTATTTTGGTCCATTCCCTGGGATGGGCTTGCTTGAGGTGATCGACACTTTGGTATTTTTTAGTGCCAACCTTGCTTTTCAAAATACTACAGACAAAATAGTTCAACGGATTGGTATCCGGAGTTTTTGGTGGACATTGTGCGCTATGCCAGATAAAAGTTTTGAAAATTGTGACCCTTTGTCGGTGAGGTACCAGAAGTGGTTTGCAGATATATCAGAAGGAGTGGATCGATTTATCCCATCTTCACAGCAGATCTTGTCTTGGTAGAAATAATGGGACGTGAAAAATGAAGAGAACCGGATACTTATTTCAGATTATATAATAGTTTTAGTTATTCAAAACTTTGACCCTTTGTGGTGGAGGTATCGGAAGGAAGGGTCCGATCTCTACTTTCTTTATAACAGATGATGAAAATATTGAGATGTACGAAGTCTGAATAGAATCGGATACTAAATTCGCGTTTTATGAGCTTCATGGATATTTAAAATTTTGAACCTTTGAGGGGGAGGTACTAGAAGGGGTGGGCCGATTTATCCCAACTTTACACCAAACCTTGGTTTAATAAAAATATTGTGATGTGTGAAATATGACGAAAACCTGATGCTTATTTCGGATTTTGTTATCGTTTTTATTATTCAAAACCTTGACCCTTTGTAGGGGAGGTACCAGAAGAAATGGTCCGATCTCTACCATCTTTATAACAGATCTTGTGCTGCTAGAAATATTGAGATGTGCCAAGTCTGAATGGAATCGGATAAAATTTTGGTGTTTTATGGGCTTCATGGATATTCCAAATTTTAACCTTTTTGGGGGAGGTACCAGAAGGAGTAGACCGATATATTCCATCTTCACACCAGACCTTTGGCTAATAAAAATATTGTGATGTGTGCAACTCGAAGACAATCGTGCACTTACATCACATTTTATAAGTGTTATAATTATTCAGAATTTTGACCCTTTGTGGGGGAGGTACTTGATGAAGTGGTACGACATTGTCCATTTTCGCGACCTAGTACTGATGCAAATATCGGAATTTGCAAGGTTGGAGCAAAATCGGATAATTCTTTCTCTTTTTTGCAGTAAATTTTTTCTTTGAAAATGTTGACATTTTGTGGGGGAGGTACCACAAGGATTGGACCGATTTTGCCTATCTCCGAACTGGATCTAAGTTTGACAATAATGTTACGATGCACCAAGTTTGGGCCAAACCGAATACTCCCTTCGAGAGTTATTGTACGAACCAGCCATCGAGGCAGACAGACAACAGACGGAGGGACATCGCTAGATCGACTCCAAGTGTCCTGAAACGGATTTGGTTAAAAGAGGCCTAGGGTCTAAAACCGCTATTTCGATAAGGCACGTTTTGGCTGTATCTAATTATATATACCCTCTATAGCCATATGGCTGAGGGTATAAAAATCTTTTGTAGGAGCCGATCTCTCTTCCCTCTATATTCCCACCCCCTTCTTCTCTCTCTCACCCTCTTTGCCTTTATGTTACATGCATGCATTCATGGATTCCTGTCTAGTCTCTAGTATTTGTTTGACTTGCATTCGGTTGCTTGACTGACAATCATGACAAGAAGTTCTTAGCAAAGCCAAACAAAAAAAAAACTCAACAATAAAACGGTTTGAAACGGATCTTGCAATGAAGAAAAAAAAAAAACTATTTCACGCCAACAACTAACAACAACAACAAAACCATGGGCAAAACAAAAACAATTGTGAGCTTTATGGTTGGAGCGACTAAGTACCGACGCTGTTGAATTGCAATTTCATCATTGAATCTTATCTTGGTTTTCATTACACGTAAAGCCATGTTCCGTTCCGTACGATTCGGTTCTGGCACTGGCACTGGGACAAGAGCCATGTGTGTGGCTCGAGAAGCTAGGATGTAATGAATGTGGCCCAGTGCAGAGCTTCTGGGTTCACCTTCCAAAAAAAAAAAAAAAGCGAAACAGCAACAAAAAAACCAACAGTGGCAGCCAACAACTGATGAATCGTCCGATAAACCTTAAGGCTGTTCATGCCAAGACACTGACTATCAAATGATTTCTAAACACGCAAATCAAATATTTTTATAAGCTGCCGTTTCAGGTACCCAAGCTCTGTCTGTTGGCTCCACCGACCGGCGACCGGTGTATTTTGGGAGGGAGTTAGTAGTACCACTACCACTAACTCGTACCTCCCCACCTTTATGGGTTTTTGGAGTCATTGTCGGCAGATATGTTTTTCCTCTTGTGGTGGCTGCTACAAGCTCTTCAAGTGCTTCGTTTTTTTGGCGGCAAAATAACCAGACCGTAACAAAGAAGCTTTTCCATGCCGATGGCATTGTTTTAATGCTCGTCTTTTGATAACAAAAGAAAAACGAAGTTGGGTGAAAACTTGACGGAGAGCTAGAACAAGTGATGGCATTTTGAGAATTATAGCCAGAATGGAAAACAATTTGGAAAGAAATTTTGAAAAGTTTCCTATAATTAAACGCAATTTTCTCAAGAGTTTTCTACAGAAAAAATGTCATCCTCCTCTTGTACATCCTTTCTAAATTCTCTGAGAAAAAATCTCCAATATTTTTTCCAATATTTCCCTTTTTGAATTACCCTCATGCCTGCCTAACCAGCCAATATGTTTTCAATTTATCTTCCATCTTTCGAATCTCAGCCGAACTTTATTCCTCTCGTGGCCGCTCGGAGCCTCATCTATTTCAGATATGAAAAACTATAAACTAATTAACGCATATATTAAATGCTTAACCCTTAACAACTTGAATGGATTGCCTTATGCTTTGCCTAGTGCATTCGGGGTGTGAGCGGTTTTTAAAGGCACATCCCATTTCATAGACACGCCAACCAGCCAGCCAGCCGTCTAGTCAATGATGGGCAAACATTTTTCACCGGCTGCTGCTGCAATCCCAGAGAAGAATATGCAATTGAAAATTTGTTTTAATTAATGCTTGCAAGTAGCAATGAAGCAAGCATTGAAGTTTCGGCGGTCCATTGGGTAAATGTTGCGACAACGACAACAACATTTTTGTTGTAGTTTTGTTGGAGGGACATTCCAAAGTTAATATCACAGCTTAGCCAGAAAAGAGGCCACGTTTCTTGGCGCAAAGAAATCGAAGGTTATGTCCCAAAAGGCAAAGAGACAAGTTATCGCCCGGATAGCTCCGACTTTCGTATTTTTTATTGTCACACTCTGTTTCTACGCAACTACCTCAGCTTTTACCAATAAAATAAATAAACATAAACATATATTTAACGGCATAACGTTACGTGTCTTATGGCGCCATGGAGATTTTTATAGCCGGGAATACTGTGAAGTCAAAGTGACAAATTTTCCGAATACACGCTTTTCAAGAGAACATTTCTACAGACAAATTGCTATTTTCTAGACAAAAGCTTTTTTAATATCATTTTTAAGAAAAAAGATTCGATAACAATATTTTTCCTGTGGAAAAGTTATTCGATAACAATATTTTCTTTGGTCGATAACAACTTCTTGATGCAAAATACTTCAATAACAAAATTTTCTATAGAAAATTTGATCCATAACAACATTTTCCATGTAAGAAAAGTCGAACGATAAGAACATTTTCTATAGGAAAGTGGATCAATAACAACATTTTCTATACGAAAGTTGGTCGATAACATCATTTTATGCAAAAAAGTTGTCCGATAACTGCATTTTCCATAGAAATGTTGTTTGAAAACAAAATTTTCTATAGAAAAGTTGTTCGATAACAACATTTTCTATAGAAAAGTTGTTCGATAACAACATTTTCTATAGAAAAGTTGTTCGATAACAACATTTTCTATAGAAAAGTTGTTCGATAACAACA